TGGAATGTGCTGACAATTGATATCTTACCAATGACGCTGTCCCATGTAGATGAAGTCTAGAATGTGCTGACAATTGATACCTTACCAATGATGCTGTCCCATGTAGATGAAGTCTAGAATGTGCTGACAATTGATACATTACCAATGACGCTGTCCCATGTAGATGAAGTCTAGAATCAGATACTGCTCACTGGAGCCAACTAACACACAGCCACATACACATTGCACAAATTTAGCCCACGACAATTTGAGTCTAGCATGGGTGAAGATGGAAAAGAGGAAAGGGGGGAAAGGGAAAAGGGGCGGGGGAGGAGGAGTGTGTATTGCTTTAGGCCCAGACCCTGACAGCCGAACGGGCGGGGCGCTTCCCTCTCCTCGTTAAAATTCACTCTATAACATTACTGAAGGATCCCCGGTCCAGGGTCCTGGCCAAGTAAGAGAGCTCCGGGAAGTAGGTGACAAAGAGAACACAAAACAGAACCATGGATGGCTTAAAACTCAATAGAAATAATTATGCTAACAATAGAAGTACAAGCAGTAATAAGAGACAGGTTGAATGATGAATGTAACTGATGAAATTATGTAAAATAATATGTATTAGTTCTGCAGACGTGTCCTTCTTCTGTAAGTAACAGAGAGGCCAATTGGCAATTAGGAGCCATCTCTTTAGCTCTCTGGGCAAAAGCTGAATTCGCCCGGAGACTGACGTCACCGCCGCGCGGGCGCTGTTCGGAAAGGCCTCGCGTCTCGCGCAGATGAAGTTTCACATTGTGACATGGGCGATTTACATACGAGCCGGCGTGATAAACAAAGATGACGGAACGAGTCTCTGTAGTTCGACAACACACTAAAGAACCACTATTGTCTCTTAGAGCGCCTTCAAATCAGCCGAGTGCTTTTTGACGGTTGATTAGATATTAATGTGTATTTACTTGAAACAAAACAACAATTATCGTCAACAATCATTCTCTTGTCCACTGTACAGCCGACAAAAACTGACCGGCGCCGCCGGTCTTGCCCAGTGAAAGAACCGTGCCTGGCTAGAACCCAAATGGCCGCTGGATCGGACAAGTAGAGTAAAAGTAAAGTAACTCTACACGCCCCAAAATGTTGTTTGTTTGTTTTTGTAAGTGTTTTACGGCGCTCGCAACTGCATAAGGTCATATGAGCGCGCGGGACACACCTAATATTTTCAGTTGGAAGGACATTTTGAATTTAGCCCGAGTGGCGGCCGAAGCCTACTCTTATCGAAAGCCCCGCCCCAAAATTGACGAGAGCCTCATTCCATCCTGTCGTGACAAAATTATGTTTCAGACGAGCACGATTTTTTGCTCTTTCGGAAGAAAGATTCTCTGGCCTCTTACTCTTACTAAGACTACAGAGGTAAGAAAAAGACAGAAGGAGAGAAGGCAGAGAGGATGCTAAGACTAAGAGAGAACATCACTTTCTTGTATCCTGTCCCAGCGGTTTTATGCCCCCCCCCAAAAAAAAAAAATTTAAAAAATTCTGAAATTATGCAAACTGAGCCCAAAAAAATGTGAAATTATGCGATTCTGTTAATTTTAACAAAGAATGTTAAAGGAAAATAATCAGTAATTATACAAAAAGATGATCAAATTTTTTCTAAATTACGCGGGGTGCATAAAACCCGATGGACAGTGTATTTCAGAACGGGAACTCACAGGTGTTGTATTACGTATTGTCTCCAAGCTGGGTATGTTTGTTCAACCCCCCCCCCCCTCCCTCCGAAACCACACACACACACACACACACACACACACACACACACACACACACACACACACACACACACACACACACACACACACACACATATAGGCAATAAAATCACAAAACGACAAGTTTATAAGCGTCCGAAACACGACAATTGTTGGTCTAGATTGCCTGTTGTGCTTGTTTGTTTGTTTGGTCTTTTTGTTTGTTTGTTGTTTTTAAGTAAGTAAGTAAGTAAGTAAGTAAGTAAGTAAGTAAGTAAGTAAGTAAGTAAGCAAGCAAGTAAGTAAGTAAGTAAGTAAGTAAGTAAGTAAGTAAGAAAGTAAGTAAGTAAGTAATTAAATAAGTAAGTAGGTAAGTAGGTAGGTAGGCAGGTAGGTAGGTAGGTAGGTAGGTAGGTAGAGGCGCAGGTAGACAAGTAAGTAGGTAAGTAAGTACGTACACAAGTAAGTAAGAACGGAAGTACGTAAGTAAGTACGTACGTACATACGTAAGTTCATAAGTAAGAACGTAAGTAAGAAAGTATGTACATAATAAGTAAGTATGTAACTAAGTTCGAAGGTACGAAAGTAAGTAAGTAAGAAAGTACGTGAGTAAGCAAGTATGTATGTATGTATGTATGTATGTATGTATGTATGTATGTATGTATGTATGTATATATTTTTGTATGTAGGTAGGTAGGTAGGCATGTAAGTAAGTACAAAAGTATATAAGTAAGTACGTAAGCAAGTAAAAAGGTAGATAGGTAACTAGGTAGGTGAGTAGTTAGGTAGGTAGGTAGGTAGGTAGGTATGTAGGTACATAAAGACGTAAGTAAGTAAGTCATTAAGTAAGTAGGTAAGTAAGTAAGTAGGTAAATAAGTAAGTAAGTAAGTAAGTAAGTAAGTAAGTAAGTAAGTAGGTAAGTAAGTAAGTAAGTTAGTAAGTAAGTAAGTAAGTAAGTAAGTAAGTAAATAAGTAAGTAAGTAAGTAAGTAAATAAGTAAGTAAGTAAGTAAATAAGTAAGTAAGTAAGTAAGTAAATAAGTAAGTAAGTAAGTAAGTAAATAAGTAAGTAAGTAAGTAAGTAAGTAAGTAAATAAGCAAGTAAGTACGTAAGTGAGTGAGTGAGTGAGTGAGTGAGTGAGTGAGTGAGTGAGTGAGTGAGTGAGTGAGTGAGTGAGTGAGTGAGTGAGTAAGTAATTAAGTAAGTAAGTAAGTAATTAAGAAAGTAAGAAAGTAAGTAATTAAGTAAGTAAGTAAGTAAGTAAGTAAGTAAGTAAGTAAGTAAGTAAGTAAGTAAGTAAGTAAGTAAGTAAGTAAGTAAGTAAGTAAGTAAGCAATTAAGTAAGTAAGTAAGTAAGTAAGTAAGTAAGTAAGTAAGTAAGTAAGTAAGT